CCATAAAATACAAAAGTATAAATCATATATATTAAATTAGTCCTATAAAATTAATTCAAATAAAGAACATACTCCACAACAAACTAAAAATAAATAAATAAATCGGTATATTACCACTTCAATTATAGAATATATTTTAAAGAAAGCCTCTAGTTTACCAGTACCATCTGATTAATTTTTAATAAATATTCGTCTTTTTTGTTTAGGTCTACTCTAACGTGTATGATTGTAAATTTTAAATTTCTTTTTTAAAACTACTACTAACTTCTTTTTTTTTTAATTCCATTGACCAATTGGATGTGTCTTGGTAATTGAATACTTTTACAACGTGTTATTATTGTTTTGACAATATCCATTTTTAACATCTTTATATTTATGAATAACAGATTTCATAACAAAAAATTTCAGTGGTCTGTTTTCATCTTGATCTTGAACATCAATTATTTTGAGTAACCAATTCTGAAGTCTTATCAGTAGTTTGGAACAATTTTACTATATCGTCCATCCCATCCAATTATATATATATATATATAATATATATAACAAAACAATATGTTTTATATAAACAAAGTACAAAGGTGCGGTTTTTATTATTCTTCTTGTCCTGCTATTTTCCTCTTCCACAAGATTTCTCTCATCCTTTTCAGGTTATCCATTCTTTCCAGTAAGGTTTTCCAATTTTTTGTAGAATTTCCTGTTTCTCTATATCGCTCAAACATGTGTTCAAGCGTCTCTGGCTCCTTTTTAGATAATCTGTATAATTTCTTTTCTTCTCCATCCCAATACCTTGACGTTCTATTTTCACTCCCCAATCTAAATCTTGCAGTTAATTGTAGCTCGTTTTTTCCCTTTGCTCCTTCATCTTTCAAATAATGAGGTTTCTCTTCTCCTTCTTTCCATAATATTTTGTACTCTTGAGCGAATGTCAGGTTTCTCATTTTCTCTCTCCTTCTTTGTTTATCAATATCTTTGGTTAAGTTTTCTAGTTCCTTCCATACATTTCTCTCATTTTCCAGCTTCCATATATAATGTTTGATTGACCATCCTCTCTCCATTAAAAAATTCTTTCTTTCTTTTTTCCATCTTTCCCTNTTGGTTAAGTTTTCTAGTTCCTTCCATACACTTCTATCATTTTCCAGCTTCCATATATAATGTTTGATTGACCATCCTCTCTCCATTAAAAAATTCATTCTTTCTTTTTTCCATCTCTCCCTTGTGGTTTTCTTTTCTTCCTTTTGCAAGACCGAAATATTATCCTTAACTTTTACACATTCTTTTAAAATTGTGTTGCCTTCGGAATTTAATACTTTTTCTTCGTACTTTAAGGCCCTTTTTGAATATTTTATGGTCAGTATTTCAGATTTAGTTTCTTCCTGATGAAGGTATCTCAGAGTACTGTTATCTAGCTTTAGTTATCCATTTAATATATCTGTCTTGAATACTTTCGGTTTCTTTTCTCTCTTCCCATCACCAGATTTCTGCCCCATACTTCAGTATACTTTCTACTACTGTCTCAAAAAGAAACATTCTCTTTTTCCAGCAATCTCTTAAGTTTCTCTCTCCTATTCTCCATACTTTTCCCATTACACTTAATGTCTTCTTTTTCAGATTTTTAATGTGCTTGTCTACTCCAATATTCCTCTGCAATATGAAGCCTAGGTAATTAAATTCTATAACCTCTTCGATTGTTTTTCCGTTCCATTGGAATTGGACCTTTTTCTTTCTTCCTCCTGCCTTCTTCCCTCTTAAAATTTTTGTTTTGTCTGTATTTAATTCCAATCTTCTTTCCTTTATGTATTTGTTGAATTTTGTTAACATTTCCCTCATTACTCTTTCATTATTCGCCAGTAAAACTATGTCATCTGCATATGACACTGACCAAATGTTTCTTCTACCGATTACTATACCTCCTTCTTGCGCTGTGCTCTTTTTCTTCTCTAAGTTTGCAAATGTTGCATTAAAAAGTACTGTGCTCAGTGGGCAGCCCTGTCTTATACCTTCCCTCATTGATATAATCTTTGATTTTTCCCCACTGACTTCTATTTTAAAGTAAGTTTCTTGTGTTCTATTTCTAACTCTTCTAAGGTCTTCCATATCATATCTCTTTTAAGCTTATCGAACGCTCCTTTCATGGTCTGCAAAGAGGAGGAAAGTTTCACCTTTTTCTTTTTTTATTTCTTCTTTGAAGGCCGTTTTAACTATCTGTATTGCGTCAATAGTTCCTTTGTTTTTCCTATATCCCATCTGCGACTCCCGTAATGCTTTTTTGTCTTCCAATTCTTTTTCTAATTTTTTCCTAAATATTTCCGCGTAAATTTTATATCCTGTGTTCATAAGAGTTATTCCTCTGTAGTTTTCCGGTTTATGTCTATCTCCTTTCTTGAAAATTGGTTTTATTATTCCCATTTTCCATTCTTCAGGCAGATCTTCATCTCCATTCCATATTTTATTTGGTATTCCTTGCAAGTTCCCTTGTGCTTCCCTTCCACCATATATCCAGGCTTCATTTGTGATTTTATCTTCTCCAGTCGCCTTTTTCTTTTTAAGCTTCCTTATTGCTTGTTCTACTTCCTCTAGCGTTATTTCTTGATCTTCATTTTTTCTATTTTTTCTTCTTTGCTCAGCTGTCTTTTTTCTTCTACTACTTTTCTTCCCATTTGTTTAGCAAAGTGCTCAGTCTATTCAACCATATGTATATTTTTATTCATCCTTTGCTTTTGTTTTTGTTTATTATCTTCCAGAACTTGTTTCCCGTTTTGTCCTTTCTTGCTTCTAACCAGTCTTTCTCCAATGCCAGTCGTTTCTTATCTTCAATTATTTTGTTGTATTTCTTTTTACATTCGCAGTAATCTGTTTAATTTACTTGTTTTTATATGTTTTTTCCTTGTCACCTTTAAATTCAGTTTTGCTGTATGACATTCTTGATCCCACCATTTCTTTTTCTGGATACTTGTATTAATCCTTATTTTCTTTTTACATATCGCTGCATTTAGCGTTTCTCTTAGTTCATTCCAAGTTTTTGGTCTTCCTAATTCTTTTAACTTATTATTGTAATTTAAAATATCCTCCTCTGACCAGCATTTGTAGATGATTGTTTTGTATTTAGATCCTTTCTCATGGACCTTTTTCGTTAAAATATTTAATTGCAAGTTTAATCTTTGATGGTCTGACTCATTGTTATCCACCACCTGCATTCTCTTTATCAAATCTTCAGTTTTTCTATTGGTAATTACGTAATCTATTACTGTCCTTCCTGTACTTCCTATGTAAGTTAATTCCCCTTGTTCATCGTCTTTTACATTTCTATTTAGGATGAACATTTCGTTTATCTGAGATCCAATTCAATAGTACCTCTTCTTCTTTATTTACAACCTTATCTTTAGATAGCCTATATTCTTCTGTCATCATTTCGCTCTCTCTTCAACCTTCATTTGCTGTTCTTGCTATTCTAAAATCTCCTCCCATTATTATGTATTCTTCTTTGAAATCTTCTTTTTCTTCCTACTTTTTCATAGTTTTTACTCCTTCTATCTCTCATGTGTACGCTTAAGATCGTAACTTTTCCGTTGTTTGTATTTAAATCTAGTTTAACATTTCTATTTTTGCTAACTTTACATTTAGGGATTTGCTTAATGCTGTGGCCGTTCCTTCTTTTAGCATTCCCTTTTTCCCTTCCCTTCTTGCTTCAACTAGTAAAATATTGTAATTTATCAATTTATTTTCTATTAATCCTCTGTCTTTCTCGTCCGCCCAAGTCTCTGTTAAATTTATTACGTCATACTCCAATAGTTTTTTCCATTCGTCCTCTAAATTTCTGATACCCGAAACATTCCAAAAGGTTATTTTTAAGCATTTTCCTTTGTTATTTTCTTTGTATATTTTTTGTAGAGTTTCTTATCTAAGTTGTCTCTTACCAGCTATTGTTCCTAATAATCTCCTATTATCTAACTTGAACGCGTTTTTGTAGGTAATCTGATACTTATTGTCTATTTTATATTTTAGTTTTTTGGCATAAGTTTTCCTTCCACTTCGTTCCATACCATCCATCTTTCATCCAATTATAGGATAAACTGTAATACTGTGGAAAAGTCCATAGTAAATTTGGATCAATTGTTTCTTAGTGAATGTGGCTCTGAACCTAGAAAAGACCAAGTATTTGGTTTTATTAAGGATGGCTTTGATACGTAAATCCCACTACTTATTATAATCATAAGTTATGTATATCAGGCTTGTTTATATTAAAGGTAAGTTTATTTTTATAAAGTCAAGCATAAATAGCATCCAGTTTCTGTAATACTGCTTTTGATAGCTCAGACCAAGTTTGTCCACCCATTGTAACCATTGTGACATACTTGTATTCGCAAGTAATCTTTGAATAGACATAAACTTATACCTTTTATACCCATACTTTGTAGCTTTGGCAAGATAATTCGTCAGACATTTGAACGCCCTTTTAATTACTCACTAATTTATTTGACCTATATAGTTCAAATTACAGTTATAACACTTAATGTAGTAAACTGTGTTAACAGTATTACTTGTAGAACAAACAGAATAGCTCAAAACCCCAACGCCAAAACACGACACTGTAGTTGTCCGAAGCACTTTTCGGTAACAAAGTTACCTTCTTCAGGGATATAATTTATACATGTTCATTCTATAAAAAAAATTCTTGCTAATCTCTTATGGGTTTTTCACTATTTTCCTCTTCGTTATTTTGATATAGTTATACGTTGACATGAAATAACCGATTTCCAATAAGAAACCTTCTTCTGCTTTAAAATGGGTTTTTACATGTCAAACTTCACTAAAAAAACTTGCACCTATTTAAATTTCGCGGCTTTTCTAGACAACTGTCCAGAGATGCACCGGCTCAGAAAATTAAAAAAAAATCCGCATTTCCAACTATGATAGTATATATTTCTTTGAAATATGTCTATGTCTATGATGTTTACCAACAATTGTGAATGTACATAACCTTACGTGTAATGTTAAGGAAAAATTGAATTTTTATGCGTTAATCAACCATTTGGGACTATTTTCATAATTTATCATTAATGGATTCGAATTTAAACGAAACTTCGGGACTCAGTAATGTTGATGATGCTTCAAATTATGCGGTAAAACCTGTCGAAAGTGAACTTTCACAACATTATCCATTAAAAGCGATATTGCAACCTTTGGTAAGTTTTATAATATGCCTGTTTATTTTTGACAATACAGATTTTACAATAGTTTTACAAGACAAATAAATACATATAGGGATCCACATCATTAACTAAATCGCCTTCATGTATGGTGGTATACACTCCTGGGGGGACAAGTGAACCTCATACTAATATTACATTACAGTAAGAACAAAATGCAACTGTTAAGGAATTATTACTTATCTTTGTCATTTTAGAAACTGTGTTATTACAATGGATTTAGGATGTCCATTGGATCTAATGAAGATTAATCTTAGAACACGCAATTCCGAGTTTAATCCTGCTCGATTTTGTGGGGTTGTGATGAGAATCCGCGAACCACGAACTACAGCATTAATATTTAAAAGTGGAAAAGTTATCTGTGTGGGTTCTAAAAACGAATATGACGCTTTAGTGGCAGCAAAGAAATTTGCACGTATTATACAAAGAATTGGATTTAATGTAAGTTTCAAAATTAGAGTTGACCAATAAAAAAGTGAAAAACTGTACTAATTTTTTCGTAGATCCGATTTACAAAATTCCAAGTGCAAAATATTGTTGCAACTTGTGATCTAAGATTTCCCATTAAATTGGAAAATTTAAATCAAATACATGGACAATTTAGCAGGTACTATCTTGAAAAAAATTTATCTACTTCAAAATGGCTAATTAATTTTTTCTTCTAGTTATGAACCAGAACTTTTTCCTGGATTAATTTATAGGATGGTTAAACCAAGGATAGTTTTATTAATTTTTGTGAACGGTAAAGTAATCTTTACAGGAGGAAAATCCAGGCAGGATATCAAAGATGCTCTGGATAATATTTATCCTATTTTAAGAAGTTTCAGGAAAAACTAATGAAGTAATTTATTACCATTCTCAGAAAAAGAAAGGCGTTTCCTTCACATTATAAACGTCATTTTTTGTATAGGTACCATGATGAATGCAATGTTTATTAAATAATAAAAGCAGACAAATTAGAAAAGCATTTCATTTATCTTGTATTCAATGTGCTGTATAAAATTTTCAACAAAACATGTTTATACTTACATTTTATTTACAGAATGAAAACTGCACAAAACCATAAATTAATTAATTAATCGTTTTCTAATAAAGACAAATATTGCATTAAAAACATTTCTTCTTCATGTAATGGTAAATCTAAATAATCTTCTTCCATTGCAGAGAGGTCTTCTTTTAAACGATCATAAGCTTCTACTTTTTTCATTTCATATTCTTCATCCACTTTACTTTTCTTGGACTGTTGTTTTTCATTCTCTAAATAAGGAATAAACCACAAAATAGTGTTATGTTTAAAATAACTTTGAAGGTTATAAGTACCTTCAAATATTGTAAAATCTCCTTCAATAATACCATCATTCTCTACTAATTCGTCAATAGCTCTCCTTATATCACCATCGTACTTTCTTAAAGCCATTTTTGCCATTCGCGGATCGAAACCTGCATTTTCTAACTAAAAAATAAAAATGAATTAAACGATAGGTATTTATTTATATTTGACACCAATTGAACCTCAGGTGTGAGATCATTTATTAATTTGAGCATTTCTTGGCTAATAGAAGAACTTGGCCCTGGAATTGGATTATCGTGTATATATTGAATACTTGAGGACATCTCATTATTACAATTTTGAAGAGCTCTCCTGGCTACCTCTTTATTATAACCCATGTTTATTAACATTGTTAAAAAATTAGGTTCAACGTACTGTTTGCCATCGACACACTTTCCTAACTGTTTTCTCTCTCTGGAAAGGAAAGGGAATAATAGATTAACTTAAAAATGAATTTTAAAAATAATAATATACAATATAATAACCTGATGTGCTCAAATACAACAAAATTCTAATAAAAAAAGTTGTACTGCGTTGTAACAAACATTATATTATGAAGAATATGGAGAATTGGACTAAAATTATGCAAGAATGATGTAGTCAAGAAGAGGTTAAAAAAATATACGAATGATGTAACAGAAAAACTCCAAACAAACAGAATGAAAAATATAAATCATAACATTTTTACCTTTGCAATATTTTTTCAGCCAGGGCTTTTTTCCTTGCCTCTGCTTTTCTTTCTCTATTTTCATTTATAAAGTTCGCAGCTAAACTTAAATCGCCATGGTTTGCTCTTAGGGCAACTCTTGCTTCAGGAATTGAGAAGCCTTTAAGAATATGTTAATCAGTACTCTTAATAAACATTTGTTTTTAATTAATAAACCTAATTCTATTAATGCTTCAATTTTATCATCATCAACTTTTAACTTCTTCAAATCCATTTGCACCCTTTCCAAAAGTGCTTTTGCTTCTATTCTTTTGTTCTGGTGGAAGAGAACAACTGCTTGCAGTAAATGCAGACGTAGTAATAGAGCAGTTTCATTTACTACTAATTGAAATGCATATAAAACAAAAAATATTGATACCATTTAAAATTAACATACCAGTGGTTCCTTTCAAAGCTATCAGTCTTTCCAAATTTGGTCCATAACTTTTAATGAATCTCTCTTCACATCTGTTTAATCTTTCATATGCCTCTGGTAAATGATTTACACTTTGAAGACACAAATAGCACCATGTAATATCAAGATCCAACAGTGCATAATTATCTACATTCTCCAATAACTGAGAATTGCATTGTCTTAAATTAAAACATGTAAATTTAAAAGCAAATTTCTCTTTAAGTTATCTCTATTACCTGAATTCATCATCTGCTTCTAAAAAATAGATTAACGCTTTAGCATGATCATTTTTTTTTAACGAACTTCGTCCTTTCTCATGTAATGCCATTGCAAGTATCAATGCTTTCCTTTCACGTTGTGGTACATTAATTTTATTTCCATATTGATCTTCCAACTATATTGAGACTCAGATGAGATAATTTGTTTAAATTTATGATAATACTTCTACAACCTCTAAGTAATGTCCATTATCTTCTTTTAAAAGTAACTTTGTGTCTTCCTTTACACTTTCTACTTCTTTAAATTTTTCTTCAGATTTCTGAATATCAGATGAGGTTTCATTCAATATTATTATTGCTAAAATTGTTTGGCCATTTTTAATGCCCTGAATATTTAGTTTCTCTGTTTCTTTTACAATTTTCCCACTAGCAATCAATTTAATTCTACAAAACAGAACTTAATACAAGTACATCACTCTGCTATTATTTTCACCTTTCACAATGATTTTGTAAATGTGAAGTAATCAATTCTTTCAATTCACACCCTGAAGAATTTAACGATATCTCCACTGAGAAAATATTCGTATTTGATTGAATAACTGCCTTAACTTTCAATGTAGCAATGCCAAATTCTTTAAATTTCTCCTTTTGTTTTAACTTACTTAAAGCATTATTCTGTAATTCAACAACAGCATCGTAACACCTCTCGTATGGCAATTTAAAAAAGGCACTATACTCTTGAGCTAGAATCTATGTATATCGTATAAAAATACATTAAGTCCATAAATAATACCAATAAAATAACCTTTAAATTTTCATCTGAAAAACTTTCCGAATCAGTGAAGTAAGGTTCTTTCCAAAGTTTTATATTGTCTTTTTGTAACTTATCGCGTATCTGAATAATGGCATTATTTAATTCAGGATCCATGGATATCAAAGATTTGCATTTTACAGAATAATACAACACAAAAATTACATGCTACACTTTCACCGCAAAAAGTATTAAAAATACCTAAGTATTACATTTCTAACGTTACCGAAAATATTGAAAATTCAGAAAACAATGACTCCTTTAAATTTCGTATATGGGTCACAACATTATCTATGGTCACAGCTGGTCACAGCTCTCTCAATAAGAGGCGACACTAAAAACCGCAAGACTCCGTACCTTTTGCGCAGGCGCGAAATTAACTCCTGTCAAGAATGTCTATGAGAATCGTCTTGCTGCCCTTTCTCATTTTTTAAATCGTTCTAACCTCTAACTACATTTTTAACCGTCAATTCAATTCATGGTTGATCGTGTATGCTGATTTATTTCATTCGTTTTTGGATTTCCTTCATCTACAGAATTGTGCACATGCAACAGTGTTTAATCTATGCATTAAACAAAGACTCATAATCATTGTTTAAAAAGCGAATTTATTCTGCTTTCTTAAAACAATTACTTATTTTTGTGTTTAGCTTATAAGTGGTGCTGGTGTAAATAGTGTCGAACAATTTAATGTATTTGTTTATATTATTAGGCAGACGTTTTTACGTTATATCTGTTATATTAATCATTTTCAAAATCAGAAAAATATAAATAACAAAGAAGTACATCAAGACCGTGAAACGCAATTGAAGATAGCAATGGAAACGTATCGCATTGCAATGAATCAACTGGATGATGAAGCNAATTAAATGGTCTCTTATCGTTCGTACAATGACCCTTACCAGAATAAATTGGCCTTTCTGTTGTAGTCATTTCAAGATATTTACAATGGTTTTCCAGTACGTTAACAAAGTCTCTTAACGTAGGTTTACCAACCAACTTAACCCTTTGCCGTTCCCATTCACGTTTTGTCGAAGCATCCAACTTGCTTGTAATAATATAGATGACAAGTGTAGACCAAGAGTCAGTAGGTTCACCTAATGCCTTTAATGCTAACAAATTGTTATTCATATCGTCTAACAATTGTCTGAGAGAGATGTGGGATTCCTTAGTAATAGTCGGCAGTTCAAAAAGTCCCTTGGTGTGATGGTGGATTAACGCTCGTGGATCTTCGTATCTATCCTTAAGACATTGCCACGCTAAGGTATAATTTGTTTCGGAAACCCCTAACGACTGAATAACACGTGCAGCATCGCCCTTGAGTGCAGAACTTAAGTAATGGAACCTTTCGATGTTCGATAACGATTTGCAGTTGTGGATGAGCGATTCGATTACTGCCCAGTTTATTTCTACTCAGATCAGAACGCTTGAGATCGTTTGTTTGAATTCGAATAAAAAGGCGGCAAGAGCAAAATCATAGACGACTCAAAATTATTTCGCGCCTGCGCAAGAGCTACGGAGTCTTGCGGTTTTTAGCGTCGCCTCTCAATAAGGCTAACTGACTAGACAGGAATCCTGTGAATCCGGCACCCGATAAAAATAATCTGTTGACTCAAACTCTATCAATAATTTTTGCGTCATTTGCGGGTTCTAAATATGTAAGTAGCACAATTGTGCATCCATTAGTTGTGTTAAAAAGAAGGGAAATTGTTTCGGTGGCAGGTGGAAATTGAATGTCAGTTTATTCAAGAGTTATTGAAGGTATCGTAATCTGATTAATATCAATCGATTGGGCGTTATTTGTGCTTGAAGATTGAGCTGGACTGAGCTATTACATATATATATATATATTTTATTGTACCACAATCATTGAACTAGACTACAATTCAATGACCACAATTCTAACCGCTAAGGCATGTCCATTAGTAAACGTCGATGGTATGATCCATAGATAATAGGTATGATCAAAGTATGATAGATTATCTATGGTATGATAGTATAAAGTGAAGAGATAAGATCTATCTATACCATGTACAGTAGGTCCTAGACTAGGTAATTAGATGTAAAACTCTCGAGATTTGGACGATAGTAATGACATCTAAGTTTACCCCACATTAGTAGACGATACTTGGAATATTATATAAATGGTATTGGCAAAGAAAACTTCGAATTTCACTGCCATCTATACATCAAACTATGAAGCGTAACCAAAGGCGCGCATTTCAAAATTACACCAAATTTTATTTTTTTTTGTTTTAAATGGAAATTGAAAAAAAAAACAAAAATAAAATTAACAAATTTAATAACAAAGTATAAATGCAGTAATAAATATAATTAGCACAATATACGAGTAAATAGCAAACATCAATTAATTAAAACATAGATAATAATACAGGTATATTTGTATGAACAAAGAAATTGTTCTTTACCTAATTTAGTACTGCTTCCTGCTTCTACAGGGGGTGCTAACGATTCAGAAACTGCAGAAATACTAGCTTCTGTATTGTCCATTGTGAGTGTACTTTCTATAACAAATAATTATATATGTTTTGGATATTTGAAACTGTTATCTGCATAACTACCTGCAGTTGAAACAATTCTTCTTTTCCCGTCATATGTTTTCACTGGATGCAGTACTTTTTCATCTTTTAATGGGGCAATTCCGTCTGCTTCTATTCCTCTACCAGAAGAAGTTCTACAAAACATTTTTTTTAGAACTTAAGTTTCACAACAACAAATTACAATACCTGCCACTTTCGTTGGAACCGCTGTTACTTCAGGAAAATGGAAAGCGGCATCTTGACCTTTAACTCCTGCAGGAACTGTATAATCTACGTAGAACATTTCAAATTAATTTGACCCCGTAATAGTGTAGACTGTACATCACGGTTTTTCTGTGTTGGGCAGAAAACATCCTTTCTTTACTTATTGTAAAGCATGATTGAAGTACTTAATATATTACTTACTTTCAGGATAGGTAAAAGTACTTTTCACAAAAATTTTAAAATATTACAAGTTGTGAAACTAATCACTATTGCTCAATAACGCCACAACTACTGGAGAATTCCTCCAATAATCACAACCGCCGTCGCGTCATCTGTTGTCGTTTAAGTAAAATGTATGTCGCCTAGTATGTCGGTAATGTCGATTTTGGTAATTTAAAAAATTTAAAAACTTACGTGGGGTAAACTTAGGTGTCGCTCGCGCTCGACATGTCATACCCTGCAGTAGGTCATACACATAGATAATAGATCTACAAAGGGTATATAAGGGTATGGTCATACATCCCAGCAACTTCCCCGGATAGCATGGACTGCATCTTCTGTGTTTTACATGGTATGATTGAATTAGGTAGAAGGAAATAAAACACAAGGTACACTTTTGTTTGATAAATTTTATGGAGGGTAGAAGTAAGGAGAATTGTCTCATATGCGGGGAATGTGCCCAGCTATAAGCAGCAAATAACAGCTCAAAAACCCTTCAAAATGGCGCTGGCGTAGGCAAAAGGTATGATATGAATGTATCTGTTGTTGACGGATTGAAGTATTCTAAATTAGAAAATTTAATATTTTTAGTGACTAGAATAGTTAGTGACAGTTCAATATACTAAAGCTCAACTGTTTACGTAGTTCAAAATAATTTTGGCCTTGTTTATTTTTCTATCCTATTCTAATAACTTTTGGCGCTTTATTTGAAAATTTCCCTGTTGCTACTGTGGCGCCACCCTAATTAAACACATTTTGACACTTTTTCACTACAGAGATAGTACTCCTTACCTCTATGTTAATCTATTGTTGGAACCATAGACATATATTGTTGGACATGCCTTAGCCGTATGTCGTAATAATTTCTTGGATCGAAAAGTGAAGGAGATGGCGTATGGTTTCGGACTAGTGTTATCTCTTTCATGACACGCTTACGCACTATCGTGAGAGATATGGATATTGTCCGAAACTTCGTTCCATCTCTTTCTTTTGTTGTACCACAATTCTGACCGCTAAGGCATGTCCATTAGTAAACGTCGATGGTTGGGACGATCAAAATTGCCATTAATGTGAGAATGGACATATTTTCTTTCTTGTTTCCGCTTGGGACAGTGGTCATTTCCTGCGTTTTTAACACGTCCTTTATTAAGTTAGGAAATGCTTCATGAGTAGTGCAGACAAAGTGAAAAGAGATAACCGAATAAGAGATTTTTAGTACGTAAAAGATGACCAGGGTCGGCTTTATAACTGCCTGATTGGAATTGCAACTTTAATCAAGCGTCATTTTTTTCCTAAATTCCTGAGAATGTTAACTTTAAAGTTCGATGCTAGCAACATGCTCAAATTCTGCTTGTCTGCATCTCTTTCTGTTACACATTAATTGGTGTAATGTTATTCGTTTTTCTTTAATTGTGTCTGCTGCAATTCGTAACTGTTTTGTTTGACGTCAGTAAAAATAGGCATTTGGCAGCAACTGCTCTGATCTAGGTAATAAGTTGAAATAAAAGTAAACAGTTTTATTGCGGACTATGCCAATTTCAAACGTCCCAACTGTAAACAGGTTTTTAAAGAACGACCTGTTTATCCAATCTAAAAAGCCGAGCAATGTAAGAAATTCACCTGGTATACTTTACTTTTCCCTAGAGTATTTTATTTATCTAATTGGTTGCTAACTATAAAAGATCCTAGGTTGTTTTTGTTTAAGCATATAGGAATAATGTTTGTTTTTCTTTTAAACTATTACAAATTTTATTTGACACTGACGGTACAAAATTGACAAAGCTAAATTGTTTACTATTATTTGAAGAGTCAGAAGTCACAAAAAAGTTAGATATTAATTATCTTTTCAATTAATGAAACTTTATTTTTAAAAACAATTATTTTATTAATTAACTGCAAAAAAGCTTAAAGTTGAAGCATGTGACTTCTCTAACCTAAAGACTAATAACAAGTGACGATTTTATTATTACATATTGGAAAGATAGAGCAGTAATCCTAAAAATCCATAATCAGTAAACATCTCATGCTCGTTGGTTGTACCTACATAGGGTCAGGGACATACTCCTCCCTCCTTAGTGATAGAATTCTGACCCTTGATGACGTCTCTCTATCGAAAAGTGCGTCAAATGGACAACTGGATGAATTTTAAAATTCGGCAGTTCTCATTTTTTAATCGTTGAATATCATTTGAATGCCTTTGTTTTAAAAAGACTGTTTTACCTATATTTAAATCCAATTGTTCCATATTAGGAATTTATACACTTAAGTTAAAATCTATAGCGCCGTGCTCCAAACATACACCTTCAACAACCTTTTTCGAATTTCTAAATTAATCGTTCGCGAGC